TGATTACAGTGAACTTTTATAAATCTTAAACATGTTGCTCAATCAACATCAACCTCCTGCGTGCTCATGTATGGATTTAATAATCATTCATTTATTGATATTATATTTATAATATATTACTTATTATATGTAATCTGTGTCCATCTTTAAAGTACAATACTTCAGTTTAACCTGTTGGAACCAGCAGAAACCCATGCTTACAGTTACATGTCACTGATAATACATGTGTACTTATGTAATTGTGTATCTTAATTCTGTTGGTATGTTTTAGTTAACTATGTGAGTACATCATCCATCACTGCAAACACCTAGCAGAAGAGAGTGATCCAGTAGTCATTTGTCTGTGTTAATACTGGCTCTGTGGTTCTGGTCCCAGTGTGATAACTGTGTAAAATGTCTGACACCAGTTTGGTTTAATGGTCGTATGTTTTCTGACCCCCTTCAGGAAAGGAGGCAACAACAAACTGATAAAGATCTTCCATCGTGAGGGAAAGTACGGCTTCTCCGACCCTCTGACCTTCAGCTCAGTGGTGGAGCTCATCAACCATTACCGCCACGAGTCCCTCGCCCAGTACAACCCCAAACTGGACGTCAAGCTGCTCTACCCCGTCTCCAAACACCAGCAGGTCTGTAGACGGTCTGATGGTGGTCTCACTGTGTTTGTCTGTTGTTGAGTCGTCTCATTGGACATGTTGTTGTTGTTGTTGTTGTTGTGTTCAGGACCAGGTGGTGAAGGAGGACAGCATCGAAGCTGTGGGGAAGAAGCTCCACGAGTACCACCTGCAGTACCAGGAGAAGAACCGAGAGTACGACAGACTGTATGAGGAGTACACCAGGACCTCTCAGGTACACTTTGGATACATAATAAAGATAAAACGCTAACAGATAAATCTTCAAAAAGGAACAAAGCAAAAGAGTAAAAAATCTAAAATTGAAAGTTTTTATTATGCAGAATAATATATCATTCTAATATTGGATTGTAATTAATTCAAATCAGTTACATTTTATTTCTAAAGCACCGAATCATAAAAGATCTAGACCGTATTCCTTATATGTCCTCCACATAAATGAATTCACTTGTAGATTTCCTACTTTGGATCAATACAATTTCATATTTATTATAAATAGTCTTTAATAAAATGTCATTAATTATTAATTACATTTTAATCATTAATCCGAATCTGCGAAGTAACTGAAGTTATTAAATAAATTTAGTGAAGTAAGATATACAATAATTTCCTCTGAGATGTAAGGTGAACAGAAACAGAATAAAACTC